ATCCCATTTGAAAAATTCTGGATCTGCCCATGTTTACATATGAGTTTGTTCAAGAAAATGCTACGTTTTGACTATCAAATTTAATTCCATATTTACGACAAGAGTGGGCCTACTAGCCTAAATCAATTATAATGAATGGGGTCTCACTGGACGTCAATTAATAATAATAGTGAAGACTATTCACTCTTACTTAAATAATTTCAATCCCAAAGAAATTATAATTATTGCCAGGGGTACGCATTGGAATGACACTGGACTTAAAGGCATTGATACATTCCTCAATTTAAATATTTGTTATATTATATATCGGGAGAGATATTTAAAATACATAATGATAATATAGAATGAAATGTATTACTTAGTATAGATACATGTTCATATCACAACATTGAAATCGGTTAGTGTATTTCGCGAATACTTACCTGGATAAACCGATTAATTGTCGTTGTTCCCAAACGGAACACCCCTTCGAAATAAATGGAACAGTCCGACCCAGGGCGCCACATACGAACCGTCTCCCTAACAAACGTCCTCATCAGTGTGACCACCTTGGGTATTTTGACTTGGTCTTGGGTTCTTGGGTATTCCGTTCAAATCCTTGGGTATTTTATTTTTACTAAGAAAAATAAATATGTTTGTCATAGAGGAATAATTAAGAAGTAACAAAGTACATGTCAGTCCTTTCAATTAAGCAAAACTCAACGAAGTGCACATAACATTGTTAATTGACTGTTAATTGCTATAAACATGGGTTCAGAATTGTTTATTTGTGATTTGCGTTGCCATTGATCTTACCTAATTATGCATTACATAATAAAACTTGATCACTGATCTATTGATAACACTGGCCGACTGAGGGCGTATTTTTCTATCTGTATTATTACCTCAGGATTATTAATTTTAATAATTAATACAAACAATTACAATAAAAAATGGTTTATAAATTGAACTAAAAGGGAAACTATACATGCGAAAAACACGGGGTTTTTTTTTTCAAATTTTAATGCATTTTCTGGAAGCTTGGGTAATTTTTTGGCGATTTTTGCTGAATCTTGGGTAATTTCGACCCAGTCATTGGGTATATCAAAAATTGTGAATGGTCACACTGGTCCTCATTCCCTTTTCGATGTTCGTTGAAAGTGAACCTCCTTTAGAAGGATCAAGTAGTACCACGTGTCTCGTGTTCGCTACTGCAAGAAGGATTTTCTACCTTTACATGTTCATATCACAACATTGAAATCGGTCAAATTATTGTAATTTATGTATTTTTATGACAAAAATCAGATGTTGAAGCTCCAGTTTTCACGGAATGCCCAAACGATATTATGGAGAATACTGACGCGGGATCAGCCACCGCTACAATCACATGGAGTGCCGTCGAAGCTACTGACAATTCTGGACTCATGGTAACGATACAAAGTAATTTTCAAAATGGTACAGGCTTTCCCATTGGCGGGACACTAGTGATGTATAATGCTACGGACTCGTCAGGCAACATCAATGATACATGTACATTCTGGGTCAACATTACAGGTAATGTTATTTCAAATATATTTATATATGCATTTTCTAGTCAATGGCTACTGCACCTTTACTACTAGGCCTACTACCACCAATCATAAAAATGATAATGTAACTTTTCTGAATATAATATAATATATTATAATAATAATATATAATATATTTGTGGTTAAAGAACTGTCTAATAACAACTCCCTGGTAAAACGATTCTGTAACATAATCTAATGATGATGATGATAATAATAATAATAATAATAATAATAATAATAATAATAATAATAGTAATAATAATAATATTTATAATAATAATAATAATTATTATTATTATTATATAAATAAATAATATTATTATATTAATAACAATAATAATTATTGTTATCGTAAGTATTATTATGATAATATTGTAATAATTAATAATTATAAGAGGATAACGATAACAATATTAATGACAATGATAACGATAGTGGTGATGATGCTAATGACTAATATTCTTAATGATAATAAGAAGTGGCTGTTTGCAATGTTTTTGGCCTGAACTTGTAACAAAATTTTTAATACTGTAATATCAATGACACTTTTCTACATGACCTCATGTTTCTGTTTAATGATTTCCTTCTGAGAACTCCATTTTATATTAATTGACCTGAAAATAAATTGTGTGTTGTCATCTTTAGATATGGAACCTCCAGAGTTTACAAGCTGTCCGAGCAACATCACACTTGATACTGACCCAGGTAGTCCAGAACGTATTGTTGAATGGGAAAATGTAACTGCTGAGGACAATTCTCAGCTACCAGTTTTAATCGATGGAACTCATGAATCTGGAGATAGCTTTCCGATCGGTACAACTCCGGTGATGTTTAACGCAACGGATGAAGCTGGGAATGTTAACACCACATGTGAATTTGATGTCACTATTAATGGTAAGTTGGTGTATCAATCTGATTCTGAAATTGAATACTCTTATTTCGAAACTGGGGAAGAGGCACGACCTGTCGGCTTTGTGCTGTTTTCTTCAGACTCTGCCCGGATTAGCCTATATTTTATTTGTACTTTTTAAAAAAGTTAATCAGTTTGTGTGACAACCATTTTAGTCCGAACAAAACTTGGAAGAAAATTTTTAGTATGAGTGACTATATTTCACTGTATCTGCTTTTGAAGTTATAACCTTACAAACATTTTAAGAGAAAGTTCAAAATTCTTAAGTTCAAAGCACAAGGATAATATATGGCTTTTCAATCAATCAATCGGAGATTTATCAGGCACACGTATCTATCATCCATGATATGGAGATGCTCACGGTGCCGCTGCCTAAAACATTACAATGCATGTAATCCCAACAAAAAAAAGGAGAAAAAACAATAAACAAAGAAGAAAACAAAAAACTAATAAAAGTGAGAACTGAAATGGAAAGTTTTAAGTTCAGATTTGAAGTGCCCAACCGATTCAGGCTTTTATTTAATCTCCATAATAAAACATTGTTTTGTGAAAACTCCACTAATAAGTTGAACTCACTATTGACTAGTCAAACCTAAGTAATTAAATCAAGGGTTATATGAATATGAATAATTATATGAATATGAATAATTATATGAATATGAATAATTATATGAATATGAATAATTATATGAATATGAATAATTATATGAATGTGAATAATTATATGAATGTGAATAATAATATGAATGTGAATAATAATATGAATGTGAATAATTATATGAATATGAATATGAATAATTATATGAATATGAATAATTACATGAATATGAATAATTATATGAATATTAATAATTATATGAATATGAATAATTATATTTTCATTCCAGACAATGAGCCACCAGTGTTTACAGAATGTCCTTCAGAAGACATAGTTCAAGGAACGGATGATGGTAATCCATCTGCAGTCGTCATATGGCCTGACGTTAATGCAACTGATAACTCTGGAATCCCTCCCGTTATCCTCTCAAATTACGATAGCGGAGACACATTCCCGATCGGCTCAACGTTTGTCAAATTCAATGCGACAGACGCAGCGGGAAATGTCAATAATACATGCCAATTCTTTGTTAATATTACCGGTAGGTGTACCTTATTTTTATTTATTTATTTCATTTGGCTTATCATTAGCACCTTTGTTTTGTAGATACAAAATTCTTGTCCCAGGTCATTGGCTTCACATGCCTATGTATTGCTGCTGTAAATCAGAGCAGGAACAGGCAACCCCACAGGTACCCATATATACTGGGTGGAGAGAAGCCATGCAGATACAGTACCTTGCTCATGGCACAAGCGAAATGAAGAGCATATCACTGAAACCCCGGCTTCAGTAGTTGACTTGGAAAACCCGTAGGTAACTTGTAGATTACTTGTGGTACTCTCAACTCATAGAAAACTCTAAGAAACTTGTTGCAGTTTTTCCACCCACAAACAAGATTGCTACAACTTAACTACGATTTTGCCGTGTTGACTGCAAGTTGTAAAATTTCTGGCTCAGAATATTCGTATCAAATTTGAGTTACAGTACCTCATATCTAACACATTTTCTGTAATAAAGCTTAGAAGGGAATCTTAGATCTTTATGTTTTAACCAGTAATCTATCATTATTAGATATATATTTGCCGTAGTAATGAAAAGCCAAAGCTGAGATCCAACCGGCTCTTCATCTGACACCCTTTGAGCTATATTGGCACACTCTTTCTGTACCCCAATGGCCATCATGGATACAGTCCTGCTGAGGTTTCTCAGTACGCTAACTATCTTGCTAAAAGTTTGCTGTAGATATTTCTGTATGGTTTCATAGCACGACTTAAATGCCTTTGTCTTTCTCTTCAGATGAAGAAGCTCCCGTGTTTACTTTCTGTCCGTCGGATAATACATCTACCACAGATCCAGGCGTGAACTCTACGAGTATGACATGGATGGCAGCAGAAGCTGATGATAACTCAGGAGAAACACCAATGTATACACGCAGTCACGAGTCGGGTGACATATTTGTTTTTGGAAGCACTATCGTCCAGATAAATGCATCAGATGCTGCAGGGAACGTGAATTTTACATGCTCCTTCATCATCACCATTACAGGTAAATGTCTAAACCCGAAAGTACTATATAATTTGCATGATGAATTAAACACACTTACGAATAAAATTTTATGTTGCGATGATGATAATAGGCATATTGAACTATAATGATAACGATGATGATGATTGATGATATATACTGTATATCGATAATGATATCAACAATGATGGTGATGACGATGTATACGAAGATGATTTTGATGATTTTAGGGATAATATTGATAATGTTGCTGATGATGAATTTCTATTGTGCCCGAATAAATAAATAAATAAAAATAAATTAAATGAAAACTAAATTAAATTTTTCTTGGAAAGCGCATATCTAATGCGCTATGTGCGTGCACTTACTTTGAGCATGATGATGGTGATGTTGATAATGATGATGACGACGACATTTAAAAGTACAGAGAACTATGTTCTTTTCTTTCATATTAATTATAGGTCTAATAATACTATTGATATTAATAACATAATGATGATGATGATGATGATAATAGTGATGACATTTAAAAGATTATTATCATTTATAGAAAATTAATAATAAAAAGAATAAATAATATTAGTAATAAAAATAATAATAATAATGATAACTAATTACTATTGCTTATTTCAATAATGCGCCCTAAACGTTAATATATAAGCGCAATTATCTGATCTTTGATAATCTATAATTGGTTTACAGATGACGAGATGCCGACGACAGATGATTGCCCAGCTGATCAGAACGTGACAACGGATGAAGGCATGAGCTTTGCTACTAGTGTTAGTTGGATTCTACCGACGTTTGAGGACAACGTTGATAAGACTGTTGAGCTTGTGATCTCCGAATCACAAGCAAGTAATATTTCTACAATGTTTTTTATTGGAGCTACAGAGATAACTATCAATGCTACAGACCTGTCTATGAATACAGGAACGTGTACGTTCAATATCTACGTCACAGGTAGGTGCACACTTAGTTTATTGGCTATCAATAGAATATAAAAACAGCTAGAATATCAGAGGCAATGGCATTACAGTAGTAAGCATGTGTATATATTAATAAAGAAACGATGGTAAATACATATAAAGACATAGGCCTACATTTGAATTCAAAAACCCAAATTGTACTTGTATGATACTAATATTATTTTGTGTTCTTAAAGTCAACCACCAATGTCTGTGTTTATATTTATTCACAATCTTTTCTAAATTTGGTGCAGCAATTTCTATGCGGAAAATATGATTATATAAACTTAAGTTTGTATGATTATATAAACCGGTAACTAGAATGAACACACTCGCTATATACAGTATATATATATATATATATATATATAT